AAAAAGAGTCCAGAGGGGCCTCCAGGTTGGCCCCCATAACACACTTATGTTCTGTGTGGTAAAGAAACACTCACTCTAGAGAAGCTGAGCAGGAAAAGGAAGCAGGCACACACATCTGGTGGTGCTCTGGAGTTGGGATTCAGTCAACACTGAGGTAAGCCTAACTCTGCATGTTTTAGCTTTTACACCAATACAATTTCCCCCTCTTAAAATAGTTTGTGTTGTATTCATTTTGCAAAAAAGAATCTTAACTGACACAAGAAAGATCATATAAATAACAGCAATAGTTTGGGGAAAGAGACTTAATATTAATCATCTGTATGTGTGACACTGTGCAAGTTACCATTCGGAATCGCCCTGTACTTGTACTTCCATAGGCACCCATTCACATGCAAGGCATATTCACATATCTTGACTTAACTAACAAAGTAGAGGGTTTAAAGTTCCCAACTGTTTATAATTAACACCAGTTATCAATCAGGTGCATGTAACTTAGGACAGTTATTTGTTAATAAATGAATCCCACTCTTGACTAACATTAGAAGCCATAGACCATTCATCTGTGGGACTAGAGAGATAACTTAGCAGTTAAAAGTGTACACTGAACTTGTAGAAGAACCCAAGTTGGGTTCCCAGCACACACATCAAGTAACTCTAAATTACATACATGGGGTCCAATGACCACTTCAGGCCTTCATGGACACCACATGTGCAATACATACACGGACAAGAGCATGCACATGTAAAAACAAAGACATATATGAATACATAAAAATAAACCTTTAAGAAAAAAAACACAAAATTTCAAGCATGTTTTATTGTTGGCCACTGTTCTTCTCAGGTCTTTAGTTCCCCAATATTACCTGTTTATAATGCTAGTTAGTAGTGTTTTTCTTTGCTATTAATTTAGGGGGTATTTGTTCATCAACCTTCTTTTATACATTTATCTCCTGAAAACAACTTTATTTTCTCTAACTTGACCTGTATATTCATAGAACTTTATTGTCTTAGTTAGGGTCTCTATTGCTGTGAAGAGACACCACAAATGTGACAAGTCTTCTAAAGGAAACCATTTACTTGGGGCTGGCTTATAGTTCAGAGGTTCAGTCCATTATCGTCATAGTGGGAAGCATGGTGGCATGAAGGCAGACATGGCGCTGGAGGAGGAGCTGGGAATTTGAAGAGACAGTGAGCCACTAGGCAGGCTTAAGCTTCTCAGACATCAAAGTCTACTCCCAGTAATATATTTACTCCAACAAGCCACACCCACTCAACAAGGTCACATCGCCAGGAGTGTCATTCCCTCTGAGCCTACAGGGGTCATTTTCTCTGAAACTACCACTTATTACCATTAGGTCTTTTAAAAGTAATACTCAGTATGTCAATTAATTTTGGCTTGATATTTAAGATTCCTTCCCAAAGATAAGTCTCTCACTTCAGAAATAGAAGTATAAATACGAAAGTATTTTTATAACATTCAATTGTATATTATTAACCCGAAACTGAAACTGTCTGGCTTCTCTCCTGTTGTCATTGGTGTGGTTTAAGCTGTTCCTACAAGATAACTAAAAACTATTTTTAACAATAAGAACTTTCAAATTGTTCATGATTATAATGACTATATGACATTAAATGAAGGTTAAAACCAGATTGTAAAGAATTTTAAAATACCAGAGTAAACCATGCATAAAGACCCCTCACATAGGTTTCTGTAAACATTTATAATAGTTTAAAATATCTTGTTTAATTTCCTTCTGGAAATTTCACATCTGATACTAGAGTTCAAGTTCAAAACAATTCATGAGCTGAGTAACAGCCTTTGTAGTTAATTAATCTGCAGTACTCAAACAAAAACATGCAAGTGGCACCATTTTCCATGAGGGAAGAGTGCCTCTAAGATGAGTGTACAACCAAGCATCCAAGGAAGTGAGGCAACCATGCTGATACCAATGTAAGTATCCTACTTACTGTCAGAAAAGCAAACTGTTAAAATACTAAATGTCTAAGTTATATAATCCAGTACACATAAAGCAGAATTCCAAATCAAATGTGCTACTTCAAATGTATAAATACTACATACATTTTTCCAATGTATTCTTAGCTTTATTCACCATTTCAGAGGGACTTACGATTGAAAATATGCTGAGAATCATTATCTGGTCAATCTAAAAAAGTGCTAACTGGAGCTCAAAGAAGTAATTGTCTATGTTCAAATCATCACAAGCATCAAGTTCTTGAGGTTTCTGAAGTACTACAGCACTTTTAATAGGCTTTCATTTCAAAAGCAAATCTGTCTGAACAAAGACCTGTGAGGGGAACTCTCAAGCTATACTCTACCCACACAACACTAGAAACACTAGAAAGCATCCTGCAGGACTACACACACAATTCTAGGAAAGTCATTCCCCAAGGAAGCAAAAAAAAAAAAAAAAAAAAAAAAAAAAGAAAAGAAAAGAAAAACAAAACATAAATGTGAAAAACCACAACAAAAACTGTTACAGCTTCATCTGAGGCTTCAAAACAGAATTTAAAAAACCAAGCCAAAAAATAAGTCATACACACTGGAAATATTATTATAGTCTATTATAGCCCACAATTACAACCCCCCGCCAAAAAATAAGTCATACACACTGGAAATATTATTATAGTCTATTATAGGGCACAATTACAACTCCCTCCCTACACACACACACACACACACAATCATGTAAATAATGAACACGTTTAATCAGAACTTTTAGTCATTAGCCAACAGTAAACTACTGAGGGAGAGCTTATTTTAATACAAAACAAAAAACCCCATTTATCATAGTCATAAATTAACAAGTAACACTGCAATAAAATGACTAAGAAAAGACAAGGTGGACAGTATTATTTAACAGGCACTACTGCATCATGTGCTATGTGATGCCATCCGTGCTATGTGATGCCATCCAGCACAGTCTATGGATCAACTCCAGAAGGTTTTGCAAAGTAAATGTCTTACGAGAAGGCAAGCAAAGCCACACCAACTACCGACGCTGTCTTATGTCTACTTTTATGCAATAATGACCTAGCAGAGTAACTGTCATAAAAACTTTACAGACTTCAAAAGCTAAAATATTTGTTACCTAGCCCTTTATATAATCCTAATTTAGAGTGCTATGTGGTGTTGCTTATTTACATGCTACCCACAAGAGGCAATATCCTCCAAAAATAATTATGAAAACTAAAATCGCATAAACGGCACTTGCAATCCCTCCTGAAACCCCGATCATGATTAAGGAATGGCACACTTTGGTTTCAAAGCCAGTGAGCTATAAAAGTATTAAAAATGACTGCCTCCAGGGAACAGAACTGAGCAACTCAGTAAACAGGGACAAGGTACTAGAGGACTAGGGGCTCCGTTTTACTTATTTTTTGTAATAAGCCTTAAAGCAATAATCTCTAAAAGTGTACATGTGTTCTTCTTTAAGAACACTAAATTTAAGCCAGGTGGTGGTGGTGCATGCCTTTAATGTCAGCACTCAGGAGGCAGAGGCAGGCGGATCTCTGTGAGTTCGAGACCAGCCTGGTCTACAAGAGCTAGTTCCAGGGCAGCCTCCAAAGCCACCAAAACAAAAAGGAGGAGGAGGAGGAGGTGGAGGAGGTGGAGGAGGAGGAGGAGGAGGAAAACTAAATTTAAAAGTCAATTTGTTCTGGCATTCCCACATGGAAAACCTGTAATTAAATTTGCTAGTATAATTTGTGACAACTGTGCTAGAGAATGTTTAAGTTGTCCATGTCTACACATCTAAACGAATTATCATCAGACAAGAGCAATCTGTTCTATGTATGGGAGGATGCCAAAAAAGTTCATTCAGACAAGTATGTTCCATAAACAAACCTCAGTGAAATTTGAAAGGCTCCACATAAAAATCCACCTAGAGAAAATGTTTAGAAAATATTACTTCAATAAGTACAACTTAGAAAACCTAAAAAAAAAAAAAAAAAAAAACTATAAATATTTGTGTTTGCTGTGTCACCGTGGCAGACTGGAACTTGCTCTGTAGACCTGGCTGGCAGTGCACTCAACGAGATCCACCTGCCTCTGCTTCCCAAGTGCTGATCAAAGGTGTGAGCCACCACGACTGACTCAATATTTAGTACATCTTAAAGTACCCATGTCTTATGTGTGTGTGAATATGCATATGTGGATTTATTGAATTTTTTTATTTCTAGTTTCTTTGAGAATTTTACATTTAAAGTGATTAGAACTTTAAAAGTAAGGCGAAAGCAAAGCAGATCCAGGAGTGAACCAATTTTTATGTCAACGTCAATACCTCCAATTAAGAACACTGTACAGAAAACATGACATTATAAATCTGTATATCTGTGATAGATTTTACCAAGAAACAAATAACACACCCAAACAGACTATATTCTCAGATTTGACTCTTAAAAATGATTTATCACATCATCAATTTAGAAGATAAGTTGCCTGGTTTCCATTACATAGAAAAAGGTTGAAAATTTGCCTTATAAGTACAAAGCCATGGGTTCAATAATGGGTATTCCCAGGAACCAAAAGAAATGTTTGAATGTGTAACAACAAATATAATTCACCACAAACACCAAAAACAAAAAAGGAAAAAAGGCTGTGAGACTTTTTGCAAAAGCTAAGTTATGACAATCTAATGATTATTATAAAATAACAACAAAACTTGGAATATTTTTGTATAATTCTACTTATACATATAATCCGGAGAAGTGACACAGATCCTAACTGGCAGTGATTAATCTAGCTACTTTGAAATCTTAAAGTAAAAATTAGAGGACACTGTTTTAGGCCCTATTTTTCTAATTTACTTAAGGAAAATGAAAATCACAATAACACAATCTTCCTCTTCCACTTAAAATCCCCCAAACCTACTTAGTCTTTACTTTAGGTCATATCCGGTTAGACTGACAGTATGAAATACACACCGATTTGTAGGATTCAAATGCTTAAAAGAGAAGAAAAGCTTTGACCATCAACTCACCTTCTTTTGATACCAGACTATAGCATCTGTAACTCTGGACGCCATTTATTCCACTGAGATTACACATTCGTCATTTTAAGCTGTACAGAGAGAAAACATGCAAAGGACTTTATTTCCACTGTGCAGGAATCCAACAACATGCACACACAGCACCCTGGTTATTTGCAAAGTGAGGCTGTCTGATTGTACTTAGATAACGCCCTTCCTCACTCCTGTTTTAGCAGCAAGTTCTCTCAAGTAACTGAAACCAGTTGTCATAATAAAAAAGTTCCTTTGGGATGAATATAGTAATTACATATTCTTAGAAAATGAACTGTTACATAAGACAAAATGAATCTTTTAAATAAATTTCAAGAATATTGCCGACTATATACTGGAAATTTAATCCTTATAACTAGTATAATAATAGAAACCAATTCACTCACAAAGTAACAGGTCAGTTTTTCCCTACCTCCTATCAAGGAGCTGGTATCAAGTACTGTTGCTAACACATGGCTTGGGAGAAATGACTGAATACTGAATCATAGATTTTTATAATGAACAAAATCAAGAAGACAAGCACATTAAATGTTAAGACAATATTAGGGTTAATTACACAGAAATAATACACATTAAGAACATGTCAGATATCACAGTTTGTAGATACTGAGAAATTTACCTTTTTGTTTTGTTTTGTTTTGTTTGTTTTTTCAAGACAGGGTTTCTCTGTGTAGCCCTGGCTGTCCTGAAACTCATTCTGTAGACCAGGATGTCTTCAAAATCACAGAGAACAACCAGTGCTGGGATTAAAGGCATATGCCACCACCGCCCAGCTTTTTTTTTTTTTTTTTTTTAAACCCATCTTTCTTTCTTATATTCATGGAAGCAGACAGTTTCATGGCCCCACAATGATTTTCAGACTGACAGCAGTTAACACCAACATACTTTGCTGGTCATAAGACACCGCCACTGAAGACGCCACCACTGATTTGTATTAAGGAAACCAGACTCTGGGCAGCACACTCATTACAAACTAGCATTCCCAAAGACCACCAGGACTTCAGGGGAATCAAGGGAGGAAAGCACCCTACAAAGCCCATCCTACTACATGCAGGTCTGCAGCTGGGGAAATGCTAGTTTGCCAAGATAAACTAAACATCACAAATGTTACATGCCATTTTTGGGAGCACGCAGGCTTCTTGAACATGTCAGGATTCAAATATAAGAAAATTGTTAGTTCAAATGTGAGGCCTGCAGAATTGGAAGTTAAAGACTGTTGTAAGTCATCATGTCCATGCTGAGAGTCAAACCCCGGACAAGTGCTCCTAAGCACTGAGTCATTTCTTCAACCTCTCCACTTTGTTTTTGAAACAGTGTCTGTCCTTGAACCTGGAGCTCACCAACTGGCAACCACCTTCAGGGATCTCATGTCTCCATGCCCCAAGCACTGGTGCTACAGAAGCACTCTTCCACAGCCAGCATTAACAGAGGTGTTGGGCTGTTCGAAGCTCCTCATGCTGTGTGGCAACTACAGTATCATCTGGGTCATTTCTCTAGTCTGCCAAATCTTTTTTAATCAGCTACAAGGATGGGTATTACAATAAGAATAAAATCTGACTTTAAAGGTATAGGGCTAGCTGTGTAGGACATTTCAACTTTACTATAGAGAGTATAAGTGAATTGAAATATCTGAAAATTTCCTTTATTGGTTAAATCACCACATTTACGGTGCCAAAGGTTAGCATGCAGAGATGGTGACTAGAGAAGGGTTAGGATGAAGGGCACTTTTACTATCAATACAACAATGGCCAGGGGGAATATTCTTTGTACAGATCTGTTTTTAAAAGCCAGATTTTAACTACTCTCTATGCTTCAAATCTCTATGAAATATTATATATAACAATGTATTTCCCTCATTATTGTCTTTTGTTTTGTTTTTCAAGACAGGGTTCCTCTGTAGCTTTGGAGCCTGTCCTGGAACTCACTCCAAACCAGGCTGGCCTCAAACTCACAGAGATCTGCCTGCCTCTGTCTCCCGAGTGCCAGAATTAAAGGCATGTGCCACCTACGCCAGGTGCCTCATTATTCTTAAACCTATTCATGTTCTAGCATTCTACTCATTGGGCTCAGAGAACAAATTAGTTACACCTAACACTTTGCATGTGCTTTTTATTCCCATTCTGTGCTCTTCATAGATCATCTTTTACTTCTTCCAAAATAAAGCTCACCTGAACCGATAAAAATGAAGTTTCATGTCTCTGTTCATAATGATGAGGAAGTACAACTAAAACGAAAACCACACAGCCATACAGGTCCTTGACTCAACTTAACTTCCCTGCATCTCACTGGGCACCTATTATTGTCACTCCTGTAGAGGATGTAGATGGGAGACAAACCAATGGCCAGGGGGAATATTCTTTGTACAGATCTGTTTTTAGCCCAAATGTCACTAACACCTGTCTGCTCTTCAGTTACCAAGTTAAAGGCGTGCGCCACCACCGCCTGGCCGATGTATCAGCTACTCACCTAAGCTTCTCACCAGATCTAGCCCTATGTTCCATAAAACAACAAACTAAACAAACCACAGCACCAATCATGTATGAGCTTCTGTGAATTATTTCACTACCATATCTAAAAACACTATGTGAATTTAACATGACACAAACTATTAGATGAAATGTGTTTTTTTAATATTATTTATTTATTATGTATACAGTGCTCTGCCTGCATGTATTCCTGCAGTCCGGAAGAGGACACCAGAGTACATTACAGATGGTTGGGAGACACCATGTGGTTGCTAGGAACTGAACTCAGGACCTCTGGAAGAATGGGCAGTGCTCTTAACCCAAGTCATCTCTCCAGCCCAGATGAAATGTGTTCTCAGGACAGTTTCATGTAAACCTGCTCAGGCCCTGTGATCTAATTGTTACTGCATGTTCTAATAACCTTTATCACTCGTGTCTGGTTACAGAATAAAATTCCTAACTACATTAGAACTCTGACCTATTAACCAACAACACCGCACAGTCCTCCCATCTCCTATCAACCATATCACGCTTTCCATACTCTTCTGCCTCAGTGCCAAAATTACCATTTCCTCTTCCCACAACAGAACTTCACAAGGGGTCCTCCTACTTTCTCCAAATGTCCCCCTCATCCCTTCATTCAAGATTTTTAAATCTATGTTCTGTGTTTCTATTACATGATAGGGCTTCTCTGTGGCTTTGGAGGCTATCCTGGAACTAGCTCTTATAGACCAGGCTAGTCTCGAACTCAGAGATCCTGCCTCTGCCTCCCGAGTGCTGGGATTAAAGGCGTGCTCCACCACCGCCTGGCCGATGTATCAGCTTTTTGACTAATAACATTAAGACTTATAAAGAAATTTAGAAGTTACCAACCAAAGCTCCATCACAAATGAACTTAAGGACAAGAATCGAAACTAACTCCTATACCTCTCCAAGGTGCACACAAACACAAAAGCACACCTTTTAACATTAAGAGATATAATAAATATGGTTGATCTACTGACATATAACTCAACCAACCAATACAGAATATCTGTAGACCTACAAGATCCAATCAAAATGACAACCCTCCCAAGCCTAGTCTAACTCCACTTCTGCCTGCTAAATGTACCAGTTACCTCCTAAAGTGCTAACAAATGCTAAGGGTCAAATACACTTCTTCATATTGATACTGAGGCTAGGGGAAAAGAAATGAAATATGCTCCGACTGAAGGAGTATGTGGTCTATAAGTTGTTACAATTTCATTAGTTTTTGTTTCATCTAGAATGAAGACATTAAAAGAAATGTATGCTAAGAACTGCTTCAATGTTAGCATAGAAAATGAAATTTTAAAATATGATCTAAACAGCTATCCTTTCTCTATTTTGATGGTCATACAAGTAATGTTTGATTTTTAAAATTTCCTACATGGAACCAATGCATAATCAGTGCATTTTGAAGTAGAGGATAATAACCACTGTAAGAAAAAAAAATCACAGCAAGTATGAGCTTGGATTAACAAAAACACTTGCACTATTAAATCTGAGACAGCATTGTGACACACTCCTTTAATCCCATTACAAGGAAGGCAGGTGGATTTCTGTGAGTTGAGACCAGCCTGGTCTATAAAGAGAGAAGTTCCAAGAAAGCCAAAACCCTGTCTTGAAGGAAAAAAACAAAACACAAACAAACAAAAGTAACTTTAACATCCAAGAGTTTTAAATTATTTATTCATTGAATGTATGTGAGTATTTTGTCTACATGTGCACTGTGGTAGTTTGAATTGTAATTGGCCCCCATAACATCAGAGCCAGTGGCACTACTAGGAGGTGTGGCTTCACTGGAGTGGGTGTGGCCTTGTTGGAAGAAGTATATTAACTGTGAGGGCAGGTTTTGAGGTTTCCTATACTTAGGATACCACTCAGTGTCTCAGTTGATTTCCTGTTGCCTGCAAGATGTAGGACTCTCAGCTGCAACTCCAGTACCACGCCTGCCTGCCTGCCTGTTCCCTGCCACAATGATAATGTGCTGAGCCCCTGAAACTGTACGGGAACCATCCCAATGAAATGTTTATCCTCTTCTGTTTGTAAGTATGCCGTGGTCACTGTGTCTTCACAGCACAGAATTCTTAGCTAGGACATGTACCGTGTGCATTCAGTGCCAGAAGAGGGTGCTGGAATCCCTAGAACTGGAGTTACAGACAGCTGTAAGCTGTCATGTAGAGCTAGCGCTGGGAACTGCACTCAGAGTCTCTGAAAAAGTTGTCATTGCTCTTAACTGCTGACCATCTCTCCAACCCAACAGCTGCAATCTTATTATTAGTAACTATGTAGAACTTCCAGATGGGCATAATAAACCACTCTGAATGTCTTTCAAAGTTAACTTTTTCTATTTCAAGGTTCCTTTAAATTCAGCATAATCTCAAAAAACCCTACTAGTTTCTTCGTATTCTTTTTGATTTGTTTTAAAGGCCTTGAAAGTCCTTCAAATACCCAATTACAGTATGTGATTAAGTATTTTGTGTTTTGATTGATGTGGTACTTGGAGAACTCAGTTATATCTAAAGTATGATCCAATTAAATGGCTTAACTGCCTTATTTACCCACAACAAAGTTTTACTATC